CCAGCAATAGTGTTCCTTGGTATTTAACCAAGTGAATTCAGAACTAACGTTCATACAAAAACCTGCACGTGGATATTTTTAGCAGCTTTATTCATAATTGCTAAAGCTTGGAAGCAACTAAGGTTGTCTTTAAAAAAAATTATTTATTATACTTTAAGTTCTGGGGTACATGTGTAGATCGTGCAGGTTTGTTGCATAGGTATACATGTGCCATGGTGGTGGTTTGCTGCATCCATCGCCCCGTCTTAATGGATTAATTAACAGTGAGGCATCCAGACAATGTTATATTATTCATTCTTAAAAAAGATGGAAACCTGCGATTTGCAACAACATGGATGAATCTGGAGGACATTATGCTAAGTGAAATAAGTCAGGCACAGAAAAACAAATACTGCACGATCTCACTTATATGTGGAGTCCAAAAAAGCCAAACTCATAAAAGCAGAGTATAATGGCAGTGGCCAGGGGATGGGGTGTGCAAGAAATTAGGAGGTGTTGGTCAAACAGCACAAAGCTTCAGCTATGTGGGATTAATAAATTTGGGAGCTCTAATGTGCAGCATGGTGATTATAGTTAACACTGTACTATGTACTTGAAATTTGCTAAAAGAGTTGATCTCAAGTGTTTTCACCACACACACACACACACACACACACACACACACACACAAAACGTAACTATGTGATGTGATAAGCATGTTAATTTGCTTGATTGTGATAATCATTTCACAATGTCTATGTATATCAAAACATCACATTGTACAACTTAGATATACACAACTTTTAAATTATGGTAGATGTATACAATTTTTATTTGTTAAGTATACCCCAATAAAGCTGAGAGGAAAAAAAGGTAGTTGAGGCAAAAAAAAAAAAAAAAAAAAAAAAACCCTCTACCAAAATCCATTGAGTTTCTATGTATTCACAATGAACATATGGATCCCAAAATTAAAAATACTATATCGCTTACAATTGCTTGAAAATGAAATACTTGGGTGTAAATGTATTAAAACATGTATAGGAGTTGTATACTACAAACTACTCAACACTGATGTAAGAAGTGAAAGAAGACCCACCCATAGATGGAAAAGCAAATTGTGTTGATGGATTGAAAGAATCAGCATAGAAAAACTTTCAATTCTATCCAAATTATTATGTGGATTTAATTCACTTTCTATCAAAATATCAGCAATATTTTGTAGATATGTATGAATATTTTTAAAAATTCATATAGTAAGTAGGAGAAACTCACATAGATAAATACATTTTGAGGAAGAACAAAGTGGAAGGAATTCAGTCTACCTGATCTCAAGACTTACTATGTAACTACAGTAATCAGATACATAGATCAATGGAACACAACAGAGAATCCAGAAATGTAACTGCTGAAATATGCCCAACTGATTTTTAACACAGTTGCAAAAGCAATTTAATAGAGTAAATACAGCCTTTTAAACAACTGATGCTAGAGCAATTGAATATAGATAGATCACCAAATGAAGCTTGGTCCAATTATCATACCTTATAAAAAATTAGCCATTTTGGACCACAGACTCAAATGTGACATGTACAATTTTAAACATTTTAGAAGAAAACAGGAAAAAATTTTTTTTTGCCTAGCTATGCCTAGGCAAATAGTTCTCAGATTTGACATAAAAGTATAATCTATACAAGGAAAAATTGACAAATTAGACCTCCTCAAAATTAAAAACTTTTGCTCTGAAAAACATCCTGTGAAGAGAATTTAAAAATATGCTACAGAGGGTAAGAAAATATTTGTAAACCGTATGTATGACAACCGACTAGTATAAGAATATATAAGGAACTCTCAAAACTCAACAGTAAAATCAAGACAATATAATGGGAAATGGACAAAGTACATAAAGAGACCTTTTTTCAAAACTGGATATACAAATGACAAGCCCATGCATGAAGAGATGTTCAACATCATTAGCTATTAGAGAGTTAAAGCCCCATTGAGATATCACTACAAACGTATAAGAATTCCTAAATAAAAAATAGTGACAACACCAAATGCTGGCAATGATGCAGAAAAACTAGATTGCTCATATTTTGCTCAGGGAATGTAAAATGTTACTTCCACTATGGAAAATACTTTGGCAGTTTCTTATAAAACTAAACATGCAAGTACTGTACTATCTAACAATTGTATTCCTGGGCATTTATCTCAGACAAAAAGACTTTACATTTACACACACAAATACCTGTACTTGAATGTTTATAGCAGCTTTATTCATAACAGCCCAAACCTTGAGTTAATTCAAATATCTTTCAGTGAGTAATGATTAAACAAACTTTGGTACATCCATACCATGAGCTACTACTTAGCAACAGGGAAACTGGGTAAACAGCACAAGAGATCTCTTTGTATTATTTCCTGTGATGACATGTAAATCTACAAGTATCTCAAAATGCTGTTTCATTTTAAAAATGTAACATATAACATTGCCAAGATAGGATTCCAAACACAGGAGTGGGTGACAAGTGGGAGAAAGAGCACATCCATCTGTTATGGACACAGAAAGACCCAGGTTCAGATTTGGTCTCCTTCACTTCCCAACTGTGTGACCTGGAGCTTGTGTCTGAGGTTGCCCATTTTCTCACACCCTTACTAACAGTGTATAGTGTTATTCTTTTTCTATTTTGCAAATTCTAATAGGTTAAGGAATAGAATTTCATTGCTATTTATATCTGTATTTCTTTGATGATGAGTGAAGATGAATATAATTTTGTATCTTATTTGGCCCTTTTTATTTTTGTGTCTGTATGTTTATTTTCATGAGGGACATTGCTTTGTAATTGAATTTTCTTGGCATATACCTGTCAGGACTTGCTTTCAAGGTTATTCTGGCCTCATGAAAAAAGTGTGGAGTTGTTTTTCCTTTTTCTATTGTCAGTTTGAGGTTGATACAGTATCTTCAGCAATACATCAGGGAAGCCATCTGGATCTGAAGTGTTTTGTTTTTGGAGGGTAGGTTTTTAATTATGGAATCGCTTTATTTAGCAAACATAGGATTACAGAGATTATCTAGCTCTTATTTTGTAATTCATATTTTTCAAGGAATGTGTGCATTTAATTTGTCACATTTATTTACATGATGTCCATAAAATTCCATTATTATTATTTTAATGTCTATAGACTCTGTTGTGATATATTTTTATGATGTGGTTAATTTATTTTATTATGATTAGTTTTCCTTGTGGCTTATCAATTTTATTAAGATATTCAGAGAACTAACTGGTGGCTTTGTTGATTTTCCCTATTTTAACGGTTGTAGACTATTTTAATGGTATCTGCCATTATCTTTATTATTTCCTTCCTTCTCTACTCTCCTTGCTTTTCTTTTTCTAATTTCTTCAAGTGGAATCTTAGAATATTGTTTTAAAATTTTATTTTCTAAAATATGCATTTGCAGCTACAAATTTCCCTCTATTCACTACTTGAGTTGTATTTAGCAAACTTTATGTATTGTATTTTAATTATCATTCAGTCCAAAATATTTTCTAGTTTTCAGAACTTTGCATTATGAGCTTAAAAATTATTTTAGTAATTCTAATAGTTCATTAGTAGTGCTTCTTTGTGGTTTCTGTTACTCTGATGACTAATTATGTTGGGAAATCTTTTATACATTTATTAACCTCTCATATGTTTTCTCTGAGCTTTCTGTTCAAGCTTTGCATCTATTTTTTATTGGGTTGTATTTCTGTTATTGTGTTGAAAGAGTTATTTATCAATCTATTTATTTATTGAAACGGGGAGTCTTGCTCTGTCGCCCGGACTGGAGTGTCCTCCTCTCGGGTTCAGGCAATTCTTATGCCTGAGCCTCCCAAGTAGCTGGGACTACAGGTACCCCCCACCACATAAGGCTAATTTTTATATTTTTAGTAGAAACGGGGTTTCACCATGTTGGCCAGGCTGATCTTGAACTCCAGTAGAGATAGGGTTTCAACATGTTGGCCAGGTTGACCTCAAGTGATTTGCCTGCCTTGGCCTCCCAAAGTGCTGGGATTACAGGCGTGCGTCACTGTACCCAGCCTGAAAGAGTTATTTATATATCCTGGGGTCTAGTCAATTGTCAGATTAATTTATTGTGAATATTTTATCTCATTGAATTGGCTTGCCTTTTAATTTTTAATGTCTATTAAAGACATTAAAGAAAGGTTTAATATAAGTAAGTCCAATTTTAAAATATTTTTTCTATTATTGGTGATTTTTTTTTTTTTAGACTCCAGCCACCAGGTTTATTTTCATGCTGTAAATAAAGTTCCCTATTGTTCCCATTTTCTGTTATACATGAGATACAGAGAACCAGAAATTTGCTTGGTGAATAATCAACTGTTTTGTATATCTAAATACCAATGAGATAATAAGCGAGACTTGTAAAGCACTGAAACCAGGGCTAAGAGCAACACAATCCACCATCAAAGGATTTCAGTGCCAGAACTGTGAAGTGTTCTCTATTGGTGCTGGGACAGTCCGGCTGACAATTACTGTCCACCCTAGCACCAAGGGCTGGACACTTGTGATTTCTGTTTGCCTTCCCTGGCATGGAGCCCAGATCTGTTTCATGAACAAAGTGACTACCAAGGCGGCTTCTCTGATGGTAAGTTGGTTTTAAGTCAGAAATCTGGAGAGATGTCATGGCGGGCAGCAGCCCCAGTGGGCCTAGCCCTTTGTAGGGCAGAGTGTCACTGTCTGCTGTGCTAGTGCCCATGCTGCATTGAGTGGGCTTGGCTGCTGTGGTCAGCTTGTCCTCTAGTGGTTCGCAGATTGTGTGCAGCTATCACGAGGAGTTTGTTGCTGGAAGTGTACGGGAGAGGGGAGGAAAAAAGGGTATCGGATTTGTCCAATCACTGGAGGATGAAGTGGGTCACTCAGAGTGAATGGTGGTTGGCATGAGAGTTGCCTGTCTTCAGCCAGTGCCTGTCCCATATGTGGGCTGGCATTTGAGGGTGTTTGTTTATAAAATGCTTGGCCTGCACAGGGCCAGGGAGAGGACGACACAAGGGGGTCACTGTGTCGTAAGAGAGGGCCAGCATCTGCCGCTAAGAAGAGTTGCAAGGGCTGTGCCTACTTCTGCCCAGACACCAAGACCGCCAGCTCCTGGATGGACATATCCTTGTTGACATAACCGTCGTACTGAGCAGGGGTCAACCTGCCACTCTGCAGGGCCTCTTCGATGGAGAACTTGCCAGACTTCCTGTCGTGTATCACTGAGGACTCCCCGTTGGGCCCCTTCACTGAGATCTCCTCCCAGTCACACTCCTGGCTTTTGAGTTTCACAAGCATGCTCCAGTCAATGAGCCCGGCGCGGTGGGCTTCCTCCGGAGACAGCTCGTGGCCCGTGTCGGGGTGGATGACCACGGCGGAGCGCCGCAGGTGGTTCTCCCGCTGCTCCCGGTTGACAGCCACGGAGCCCAGGCGCCTCTGCAGCTCGTCGATCTCGAGGTCTTTGTCCTTGGAGAGCCTCTTGAGGTCGTCCAGTTCCCTCTCCAGGGACCACAGTCTAGAGTCGTGGTTAGTCCCAGAGTCTGCCACGGCCATGTTCCGCAGGTCTCGTGTTTCCGTCGCTGCCATTTCAATTTCCGATTGGAGCCTTCGGGTCTCCAGCTGCAGGTTTTGCCGCTCCAGTTGTAATTTGTGGTTCTTTTCCCTTAGAAAGTCTAGTTCCTTGGACGGCTTGGAGTTATGGAATTCCAGCTCCGAAAGCCGGGCTTCCAGCCGGCTCACCTCCGCGTCCAGCTCGCGCTTGCTGCGGCTCTCCTCCTCCAGGCTGCTCTTGAGCCTCTGGATCTCTTGCTTGGTGTCGCCCTTCTCCGCCTGGACACTCTTAGAAAACACCACCTTCTCCTTGACCTCCGCCTTCTCCAGGGCGGCCACCTTCCTCCGCAGGGTCTCCAGCTCACCCTCCAGGAGCTGCCGCCGGTGCTGTTATTCCTCCAGCTGGAGTCGGAGCAGGGCATGCTTGCGGGCCTGCTTCGGGTCCTGCTGCAGCACTACCTTCTGCTTGTGGGTCACCTTCTCACCGGCCTCAGCTTCTTCCTGCTCCAGCAGTGCCAGCCGCTGCTGCAGCCGCTGCACCTCGCGCTCTGCCTCCCTGCGGGCCTGCAGCTCACCCTCCAGCTCCTCCAGCTGCCGCTCGAGCTCGGTACGCCGGCGCTGCAGCCGCCGCAGCTCCGCACGCAGCTTGTCGATCTGCCGCAGCTCCACGTCGATGCTCTCGGCGAAGGAGCTCACCTCGGCCCTCAGGCCAGGCTCCTCCTGGTACCTGACTACTTCCTGCTGCACCATTCTTTCCTTCACCTGCGAGAGCTCCTCCTCCTTCCGGGCAATCTGCTCTTCCTGGGAAGCCCTCTCCCTCTCCAGGTCCACTTGCCTCTTCTGCTCCTCTGAGAGCTTTGCCCTCAGAGACTCCACCTCCTCCTTGGTTTGAGGGTCTTCCTGAAATTGTAGGATCTCCTGGACCACCTCTTTGATCTGGACCTGGGGTTTGGTGTCTTTCAGGGCCTGGATTTCCTGCTTCAGCTGGTGGATCTCTAAATCACACCTTTCGATCAGTCTGGTCTTATCCACGATCTCCTCTCTGAGCCCCTGAAGCTCCTTCTCCATCTTGGGGTCAGTCTTGTACTTAATGACTTCCTTAGTCACGTCTTTGACTTCCACCTGGGGGCCCCGCCTCCTGAGGGTCTGCAGCTCGCTCTGGTAGCTCCAGAGCTGCTCCTCCACCCCCCGGTACTTTCGCTCCTGCTCCACAAGCTCCAGGCGGAGGTTGGCCACTTCACTCTCTGCTTTGGGGTCTGGCCGCGCGATCTCACGCACCTTCTCCTGCACCACCACTTTGGCATTCTCCTCCTCCAAGGCCCATATCTTCCGGAGCAGCTCGGTCTTTTCCCTCTGGCTGGCACGAGCCTTGGCAGCCTCATCCTCGTATTGGCGGGTGAGATCGCTGACCTCCCTCTCGGTGGATGCGTCCTTCTCCACCTTGAGCACCTCCTTGACGGTGATCTTGCCCTCGGCCATGGCCCGCTCCTTCTCCAGCCTCTTGAGCTTGTCCTGGAGGAAGCTCAGCTCCTCCTCCTGCTACTCTCGGAGGTGGCGTTCCTGCTCGTGGTCATCCTGCAGCTGTCGGTACTCTGCCTCCAGCTGGGGGTCATTCTGCAGTTTAACCACCTCTTTCTCGGTGACCTTGTTTTGTGCCCGGCTCTTCTCCTCGGCCAGGGTGGCCACACGCTGCTGCAGGAGGAGCACCTCTGCCTCCCGGGCACCCTTCTGCCGCCTCAGTGCCTCCAGCTCCTCCCGCAGCTGCAAGACCTCGTCTGCCTGGGCCCTGTCAGGCTCGATGCGCAGGACCTCCTTGACCACATACTCCTGTCCCCCGTCCCATGTGTCCTATTCCAGGGCGCGCAGCTTCAGCTGCAGTGCCTCCAGCTCCTCCTGCAGTAGTTGGTTCTTGTGCTGCTCTTCCGCCAGCGTCCTCTGCAGCTGCTGGAAACTCTCCTCCAGTGCGGGATCTGGCACTTTCTTGAGCAGCTCCTTCCTCACCACCGATTCCTGAGGCCCCTGATTCCGCAGGGTCCGGATCTCTTCCTGGGTGCTCTTGATCTCGTTCTCCAGCTGCTGCCTCCGCTCCTTCTCCTCATCCAGTTCCTTCCTGATCTTCCATGCCTCTTCCACTCCGGAGTCCGGCTTGTTCCTCTGCAGGGTCTCATGGGTCACTTCTACTTCCAGCTGCTGTCTAAGGAGATTCAGAGCAAACTCTAAATTCTGCAGCCTCTGTTTGTTGATGGCATAAACTTCAGTGAACTTGGCAGCAAGAGCTGCTTCCTCTTCTTTCACTTTGGCAGCGGGAGATTGGAGCCTGGCTCTCTTGTTCATGTGGCTGCTCCTTCCATTCTCCAAGTCAAGAAGGGACCTTAGTGTTTCTGCTTCAAACTCATAGTCCTTTACAGCTTGCTGATACTGCTGGGAATTGGCATAGATCTTCTGTACTTTCTGCTCCCTACCTGCTATCTCATGTAGCAGGTTCTTCTGGTTCTTTAGCTTGGTCTCCATCTGGCTGAGGCTGTCTGGCTCCTGGGGCTCGTAACTGGGGATGCTGGCCAAGAACTGCAGCATGTGGTCATGGCCACTGCGGTAGTCCTCATAGGCTGCCTTGGCACTCCGCAGGCTCTGTGCCCTACACTCCACCTGCTGGCACAGGTTGTCGAAATGCTGGCCCAGCTTGTGAACTTCGGCCTCCTGGTGCTCCAGGTCTGGGCAGTGCTCCTGGAAGTGGCTGGCCAGCATGCTCGAGCACTGCTTGGCTGCCTGCAGATTCCGCTCCACCTCGCCCAGGAGGGACTTCTGGGCCTGTAACTCAGAGGCCAGGGCTGCCAGCTCCTGCCCCTTGCTGTCCAGGACACGGCTGCTCTCAGGGACGGTGTTGTCCTGATTCAGACAGTTCTCCTGTGTGGCCAGCAACTCCCAGCCCTGCTGCAGGCTCTTCTCCAGGCGGTTGGCCACGTCAACCTTCTCCTCGGCCAAGTCCAGCAGCTGCACCAGGCGCTCATATTTCTGGTTGGTGTCCTCCACCCGGGTCCTCAGCAGGGGTGTGGTGCTGCTGCCCGGGAGGGCCTGGATGAAGGCTTTGCCCTCAGCCACACTCCGCGTCTTCTCAGGCTCGATCTGTAGCAGCTCGTTGGTGATGTTCTTGAGGTCCTTGGCCCGCTCGGCACTGTCCTGCACAGCCCGGCCTTGCTCCAGCGGTGGTCTCAGGATCCCCATGATGGCCTTCTCCTGCCGGTCCAGGTCGCTGGCCACCTTGTCCAAGCCAGCCAGCAGCTGGTGCCCCTGGAGGTCAGAGGCATCTCCAGGGTTCTTGGTCTTCAGCATCTCATATCGATGCTGCAGCGTGTGTTTGCTCCCAGCTGCCTTCTGCCTCACGCTCTGGTACTGGCTGCCTAGGCTGTCAGCCAGAGCCAGGGCCTCGGGGTCTGTGGGGGGGATCACAAAGCAGACGGCAGGAGCGATCAGCTTGTTCCCCGCGCTGTCTGTGAGCTCCCAGCTCTCCCCATTGTTCTTCTGCAGGGTGTAGCTGTAGCCCCACGATATCAGGCCCTGCTCCCCCTCGAAGTCACAGAGTGCCTCCACGGGGATGGCCTTGAGCGGCGTCTCCCAGCGGTACCTGAGGGGCACCACCTGTTGGCCTCGCTTCTGCAGCCCCTGCACCACGTCCTCATACTTGTCCAGCACCTTCTCCTGGTCATCCAGCTCCCTCCCTCAATAGCAGCTCAATCTGGTACCGGTCCTTGAAGTCAGGGCTGTATTTCTGGTTTAGGTCCGAGTCCACCTTGCGCAGCAGCTCCTGAGCGTCCTTCATGTCTTCGTGGAACTGGTGGTAGTCCTCCATGTACTTGAGGTGGCTCTCCTCACAGATGAGCAGGTTCAGGTACTCCTTCTAGTCAGCGTGCACAGCCTCCATGTGTGCCTCAATGGAGTTCCTCCCGGGGTGCTCGGCCGCCAGCAGCTGGTCGCCCTCGCTGTGCATTGATTCTGCTGGCACCTACCACGGGGACAGTGACCTGCAGCAGGAACGCATCAATGTGTACTACAACGAGGCCAGCGGTGGCAGGTACATGGCCCGTGGTGTGCTTGTGAATCTGGAGCCGGGCACCATGGACTCTGTGCGCTCAGGGCTCTTCGGGCAGATCTTCAGGCCAGACAACTTCATCTTTGGTCAATGTGGGGCTGGGAACAACTGGGCCAAGGGGTACTACACAGAAGGCGCAGAGCTGATGGAGTCGGTGATGGATGTTGTGAGAAAAGAAGCTGAGAGCTGTGATTGCCTGCAGGGTTTCCAGCTGACCCACTCCCTGGGTCGGGGAACTGGGTCTGGGATGGGTACCCTTCTCATGGGCAAAATCCGGGAGGAGTACCCAGACAGGATCATAAACACATTCAGCGTCCTGCCCTCGCCCAAGGTGTCAGACACCGTGGTGGAGCCCTACAATGCCACCCTCTCCATCCACCAGCTCATAGAAAATGCAGACGAGATGTTCTGCATTGATAATGAAGCGCTCTATAACATCTGTTCCAGGGCCTTAAAACTGACCACCCCCACCTACGGTGACCTGAATCACCTGGTGTCTGCTACCATGAGTGGGGTCACCACGTGCCTGCGCTTCCCGGGCCAGCTGAATGCCGACCTGCGGAAGCTGGCTGTGAACATGGTTCCATTTCCCCGGCTGCACTTCATGCCCGGCTTTGCCCCACTGACCAGCCGGGGCAGCCAGCAGTACCGGGCCCTGACTGTGACTGAGCTCACTCAGCAACTCTTTGATGCTAAGAATATGATGGCTGCCTGTGACCTCTGTCATGGCAGCTACCTAACCGTGGCTGCCATTTTTAGAGGTCGCATGTCCATGAGGGAGGTGGATGAGCAAATGTTCAACATTCAGAATAAGAACAGCAGCTACTTTGCTGAATGGCTCCCTCACAACGTGGAAACAGCCATCTGTGACATCCCACCCCGGGGACTAAAAATGTCAGCCACCTTCATTGGTAACAACACAGCAATCCAAGAGCTCTTCAAATGCATCTCCGAACAGTTTACCGCTATGTTCAGGCGCAAGGCCTTCCTGCACTCGTACACGGGCAAGGGAATGGATGAGATGGAGTTCACCGAGGCCGAGAGCAACCTTAATGACCTGGTGTCAGAATACCAGCAATACCAAGACACCACAGCTGAGGAGGAGGAGTTTGAGGAGTGTGCTGAGGAGGAGGAGGTAGCCTAGAAACTTCCTTTTCTAGGCAAACTGGGGAAGCAGTGTGGATTCTTTAGTGTGCTCTGATAGCCATTGTCACTACACACTTCTTTGAGTCTTTACATCTCCTCCTGCTGCATTTTAAAGCATTTTCATAGTAAGTAGTTTGACCTAATAAAACATTTCTATAGCAAAAAAAAAAAATTACCTTCTGAAAGATCGTAAATATACCTCATATCAATTTTCAAGAGGACTTTAATATTGATAATATTCTCATAGTTACTATATTGTATTATTTCCTGCTTTTTGTAGCTACTAGTGTACTAAAGCAGTTATAATAAAGATTATATGGGAGTATACTTAAAAGCCATACATTTAAAATCTTGAATCACTATTTTTAAAATTATATTCAATAGTTTTCTTTATACATGCCCTTTTTCAATCCAATTGAACACTTACAGATTTTTCTTGGCTTTAACTTACATTAAATGGAATATACAGATAGAAAGAAAAAGGTGTAAGAGAACTATACCAGCAGAAATGCATGTGTGTGTACCTATCTTCAAATGGAAAAGAAAATCATGGATCACAACAGGAAATTTGAGAACTGTTGATTTACTACCAAACTAGAAACTTCACAAATTCTCAAAGCAAAATAGTTTCTCTATAGTACACTGAACTTTTCTCTTATAAATCTGATGTCTTCTGGGTTCAAAGTCTATCCCATACAAATCCTTTTTTCTTGCCTATGATTCATGTAAGAATAATTATATGATTTTCTTATTTCAAAACTTATAAAATGTTGCTTATATGTACTCTTGGATTTAAGAACGTTTTCATAAAATTTAATGGTGCTGGCCAGGCATGGCGGCTCATGCCAGTAATCCAGCATTTTGGGAGGCTGAGATTGGTGAATCACCTGAGGTTGGGAGTTCAAGACCAGCCTGGCCAGCATAGTGAAACCTCGTCTCTAACTAAAAATATAAAAATTGGCCAGGCGTGGTGGCACCTGTCTGTAATCCCAGCTACTTGGGAGTCTGAGGCAGTAGAATTGCTTGAATTTGGGAGGCAGAAGTTGCAGTGAGCTGTGATCATTCCATCTCAAAAAAAAAGAAGTTTTAATGGTACTTAGAAATTAATCTGAGAACATAAGTAACTCTACAGTGATCTATTTAGTTACAATACAAAATTCTGACCATTTAGTTGAAGTAAAAGTAGTGTCAAAGATATAAAATCTTGAAAACAACCAGTTCAAAGCAAGAAATTACATAAAAGGAAAAGCAATGTAAGTGTAGTATAATAAGTCATAATGGTTGCAAATGACAATGGAATTACATTTTTTAAGTCCAGATAGGAAAACCTAGTATCAACACAAGATTCTGTACTTAGCAGAATTCTTTAAAAAATGAAACCAAGCCACAGTAAGATATCACACACCTATGAGAATGGTAAAAATAATTTTTTTAAATGTGAATACCAAACACTGGTTAGGATTTGGAGCAAGTCAAATTCAGAACACAAAATGACATAGTAACTTTGTAAAGTAGTTTAACCATTTTTTGTGAAGTTACTCATATATTATTTTAACCAGATGTCCCAACCCTAGGCATTTATTATACAAAACTGAAAACTAGTGATTAAAACCTGGTTGTGGATACTTGTTGCTACTATATTCATATTTGCAAAAAGCTAGAAATAAATCTTATGTCCCTTAGTAGGTAAATGCATAATAAACTGTGATATGTCTATACAAAAAAAAAATTGTGTTATCTTTCAGAAATCCTTACCTAACCCAAGTTGATGAAAATTTTCTCCTATGCTGTTTTCTAGAAAAAAATATCTTTTGCATTTAGGTTTACAATTCTAATTAATTTTTGTGAACGATGTGATTTAGGGTTTGAGATTCACTTTTTATATGGATACCTAGTTTTCCTGATACCATTTGATGAGAAGACTATTCTTTCTCTTATTGAATTATATTCATTCCTTTGCCTAAATCAATTGATCATCAAAGCGCAAGTCTGTTTCTGGACTCTATTCTGCGCTTTTTAATCTGTGCATCTTTCTTTAAGCCAACACAGTACTGTAGGGATCACTGCAGCTTTGTGGCAAGCCTTACAATTTAAGTTTGAGTAAATCCTCGAACTTTGTAATTGTTTTTGTTATTCAAAGTTTGCATTTACATATACATGTTAGAAGCAGCGCTTCAATTTTTCAAAAAAGCTTTCTGTGATTTTGACTGAGATTGCACTGATTCCGTAGAACACTTTGAAGACAATTAACATCTTTTTTTTTTTTTTTCGAACCTTGACTCTTTTTTTTTCTATTTTTTTAAAATTGTACTTTAGGTTCGGGGGTGCATGTGCAGAACATGCAGGATTGTTACACAGGTACATAAATGGCAATGTGGTTTGCTGCCTCCATTCCCCCATTACCTATATCTGGCATTTCTCCCCATGTTATCCCTCCTCAACCTCCCCAACCCCAAACTGTCCCTCCCTTGGCCCCTCCCAACAGACCCCAGTGTGTGATGCTCCCCTCCCTGTGTCCCTGTGTTCTCATTGTTCAACATCTACATATGAGTGAGAGCCTGTGGTGTTTGATTTTCTGTTCTTGTGTTGGTTTGCTGAGAATGATGGTTTCCAGATTCATCTATGTCCCTACAAAGAACACAAACTCATTGTTTTTTATGGCTACATAGTATTCCATGGTGTATATGTGCCATATTTTCCTTGTCCAGTCTATTGTCAATGGGCACCTGGGTTGGTTGCAAGTCTTTGCTATTGTAAACAGTGCCGAAATGAACATACATGTGCATGTGTTCTTTATAATAGAATGATTTATAATCCTTTGGGATTGCTGGGTCAGATGGAATTTCTATTTCTAGGACCTTAAGGAAGTGCCACACTGTCTTCCACAATGGTTGAACTAATTTACACTCCCACCAACAGTGTAAAAGTGTTCCTATTTCTCCACATCCTCTCCAACATCTGTTGTCTCCAGATTTTTTAATTACTGCCATTCTAACTGGTGTGAGGTGGTATCTCAATGTGGTTTTGATTTGCATTTCTCTAATAACCAGTGATGATGAGCATTTTTTCACGTTTGTTGGCTTCCTGTATGTCTTCTTTTGAAAAGTGTCTGTTCATATCCTTTGCCCACTTTTGAATGGGTTTGTTTGTTTTTTTCTCATAATGCTGTTTTAGTTCTTTGTAGATTCTGGATATCAGCCCTTTGTCAGATGGGTAGAGTGCAAAATTTTTTTCCCATTCTGTTAATTGCCGGTTCACTCTAACGATCATTTCTTTTGCTGTACAGAAGTTGTGGACTTTAATTAGGTCTCATTTGTCTATTTTGGCTTTTGTTGCCAATGCTTTTGGTGTTTTAGTCATAAAGTCCTTGCCTATGCCTATGTCCTGAATGGTTTTGCCTAGGTTTTCTTCTAGGGTTTTTATGGTGTTAGGTCTTATGCAACTGGAGTTAATTTTAGTGTAAGGTGTCAGGAAGGGGTCCAGTTTCTGCTTTCTGCACATGGCTATGTTAAAAGTATTGAGGCTGGGCATGGTGACTCACACCTGTAATCCTAGCATTTTAAGAGGCTGAGACAGGCATATCCCTTGAGCTTAGGAGTTCAAGACCAGTCTGGGCAATATGCCAAAACCCCATCTCTACAAAAAATAATTAAAAAAAAATTAGCCAGGATGACGGTGCATACCTGTAATCCCAGACACTTGGGAGGCAGGGGCGGGAGGATCACCTGAGACCAGGAGGTTGAGGCTGCAGT